TGTAAATATTTTTCATATTTTATAGTGACCATTAATTGTAATTGATAAGCTCAACTTTTTCCATGGAATTAACTGGTGATGGCCACATGTTAACAAAAGCGTATGTAATATAGAATGGGTCTTGTTAACATAAAAGGCACACACTTAGAGAAGCCAATAAAACAAATATATGTATACATATACAAATTCATAAATGCATGTGAAATATTATAAATTTATAGTGAGATAGATCATTTGTGTTTCTCTCCAGCTCAAATCAGATTAGGGGGTGTTGTTGGATTTCCGTGAGCTCATCACGGAATCCGCATCAATAATCCGAACCGTGCAATGTATAGAGCTCGTCGAATATTTCATTCTTGCAAAAAATCAATTTGATCGGATATCGATAGCTACTTGATTATAGCCCTGTTTGGTAGAACTATGGGAAAGTGCTTATAGCTTATGCCTAAACAGCTTTTAGCTTATAACTATGAACATAAGCTGATTTCTGACTTATAAATTAAACATCCCTTGCCCCACTCAAAGAATAAACTGATTTCTGACTTTCAAAAAGTTATAAGCTATAAGTTATAAGCTAAACCAAACACATCAAAATAGCTTAAATTAAGCTGAAAGCTGAAATAAGCTGCTTTTAAGTTCTGCCAAACAGGCACTATATCACATTTGTATAAATAATTTATTGTAAAAATCATACTTACTTGTGATCTAATTAAGTAACTATCGATATCAGATCAACGTGATTTTTTACAGGGATAAAATACGCCTTACATATTGAATAGTTCAAATCATCGATGTGGATTACGTGGTGGACCCACAGAAACCCAACAACACCCTTCTAACTGGAGATGAGCCTCTCCCTAAAAAATGCTACAAAAATGATGTGATAGTGTTGATGTTGTAAATATAAATTATTTTAATGGATATTTTTTTTCAAAGTGCAAGGTCACTATTGAGCCACATCATTACTTATGAAAATCCTATATGTATTTTCTATTTGTATTTCATTACTCTCTCTCTCTCTCTAGGAATGTAGTAGAAGGCCTAAAATGAATTAATTTGAGAAGTTAGGGGGTTTATTTGAGTGAAAATATTGTTTAGGGGTTTAATTGAAAAAAAGTAAACAATTTGACGGCTCCTAGTGTAATTTACTCTATAACTAACCCCACATCAACAATTAATAGACTAAATACCGTAATTTTTAAATAAAAAAAGAAGAATATATTTATTGTCAAAAAAAATGAAACTTTTAAAAGTTTAATTTTGCATTGCAATAGCAACACGGTTAAAAGTCAATTTTTTAATATTTTAATTTTTTAAAATCATATTATCTCTTTAATTTTTTTAAACTTATTTGTAATTTTTAACTTATTTTCCAGCATAGACCAAAAGTATCATCAATGTTGATGTTTAACTGAAATACAACAAAGTAAAGGTGGATATACGAATGTAAAGTATTATTATTATTATTATTATTATTTAGGTGCGGCGGGAGTTCTAATTGAAAATTATAACTCTCTTTGTTTAGAAAGAATTTAACTTTTTTTTTTAGTAATATAATTATTTACACTTTAAAAATATTAATTTTTCAAAATTGTTTTTTAGTAGTACAATTATTACACTTCTAATAATGTTAATGAATTTAAATGAAGGATAAAATAAGAAATTTATATAATTTTGATCCTTAATTTTTAAAAATAAACTAATATTTTAGAATAATAAAAAATGAATTACTGTATCCCATCGGTATACTATCATGCTACAGTGTTAGTTTAAACAACTACATTAATAATGTTACATAATACTTCAAGGGTCCCGTTTGTTTGGAGAGTTAGAAGGAGGATTGAGATTGGTAGTGAGGTAGGATCCATTAATATTGTGTTTGTTTTGAGAGATGGGGAGGGGATTGATAGTGAGCTCCAGATTAGGATGGGTCTCTCCAAAAAGAATTCGGATGGGCCTCCAGGAGTTGGTATTAGAAAAATAGTCCGACGGACTAGAAATTTTTTATTTTTATTTATTTTTTATTTTATTTTTTACAAGTCGGGCATTTTTTTTTAACATTAATGTTTAATTTTTTGTATTTTTTGTTAAGTAAAATCATTATTTTATTTGTTTTATTTTTTCTGAAATTTTTTTATTTTATTTTTATTTTTTTAAATTTTTTTGCATGTTAGGCATTTTTTTAAAAAATATTAATGTTTAACGTTTAATGTTTTTGTATTTTCTTTAATTTTTTTTATTATTTTATATTTATTTTATATAAAAATAATTTAACAATCCCCACACTAACAACTATTATCAAAATAAGCACAATTTTACTTAATCCCCTCACTAACATTCCCCTCACTATCAATCCTTTCTCTGAAAACAAATAGGGCCCAAGAATACATAATAATTATCAATTCTAGTTGAGGAAAGACTAATTAGATGTATACTATATGTACCTTATAACTAAATAAGAAAATAGTATAATTTCATATTTTTTGAAGCATAATTAAAATAAAAAAATATATTGAACATCTCATGACTCATAACTAAAATAATGCCATAATTAAATAAAAAAAATGGTCATAACTAGAGTAGAAAATAACATAATTCAGGGTGTGTATGGTACATCCCTTTCAAGGGGTTGTATAGTAGAATTTCCCAATTATAGTTGGGCATTAGTAACTAAGAAACCAACTAGGCTTAGTCTAATTAGCTATCATAACTTTTTTAAGGGTTTAGTCCCTAGAAAAAACTTATGGGTTCAACTCTTTTTAAAATGAACTAAATTAAGGAGGAAACACTTGGTACCTTTCAAAGGATGGGAAAACTAACTCCCATAGGTGCTACAGTAACAATTGACTTTCACCGATAAAAATAAATAAAAAATAATAATAATAATAATAAAAATTATGTGTGACTAAGAAGATAGACAACATTTTAGATATAAAAAATTGGACAAATTATAAATATACTCTCTAAGGTTTGATTAAAATATGAATCACCTCCTTTGATTTTGAAAATTACATTTCACCTCTTGAAGTTTTGAAAATTACATTTCACTCCCTGAGATTTCTAATTTCATAATAAATCGTCCCCTTTATTAATAAATCATAAAGTCAATTAACAGTTTTTAATGATGTTAGAAATATGTTTCAATTAATAATTTAAGTAATTTTATTATTGTATAAGAGAGCAATTATGAATTTTATTTTTTTAATTATTTATGTTAAATAAGAAATTCTAACAAGGGGTATTTGTAATTTTCTAAATAACAGGAGGTAATTTGTATTTTAAATAAATCTCAAAAGGTGTATTTGTAATTTATCCATAAAAATTAGAACCATAAATGAAGTGAGTAGTAAATTTTTTAAAATCAACTTAACAATTTAATAAATTTTAAAATATGTTAAAGTCTAAGAAAATGATACCATATGTACCCTATCGCAAAATATATAACTTTATTACAAAAAAATTTAATATCAATTACAAAATGCGTAACCTCACAACAAATGGGCATAAGAAAACATGTACGACTTGTGATTAATGTTGCAAAATTTTGTGACTTGATCACAATATTTTTTATTATACCAATTTATAACGAGATTACGTATTTTATAATTAATAGTACTAAATTTTGTATTAAAATTATATATTTTGTGACAAAAATACATATGACATGTATTCCTAAAAAGACGCACACCATAAAAGAACTGTAAAATTTAATTTATTTATATAATAAATTTATCAAACTAAGCCATTTGGTTTTCATCCCAAACTAAAAAAATCACAAAAGAATAAAAATAAATAAATAAAAGTCAAAAATTACAAAAGGATCAAAAACAAAAAAATTTCATTCCAAAACTAAAAAGCTAAAAAAACTAAACAAATAAAAAAAATTTAAACTAAAAAAGTTTAAAAAATTAAAAAATTAACTAAAAAATCATTGCTAAACGATCCGCAAATAGATTCTATCAAATATAGTTGCCGCTCGCACAACCACATACGTCCCTTGTAAATCCAATCCGAGTTGTCATATATGAACAATTATCCAATCTAATAAAGATTTATACGATTAAAAAAATATCACTAATAATATTAAGGCATTAAAAATATCACAAAAAAAAAGAAAAAAAAGACATAGACAGTGTGTAGAACTCATTACCACATCATTACTCCCCTTAATGCTTCTATTTTAATGCTCTCAACTATTTTTCTTACAGCTATATTAAGTATCATGAAAAAAATTTCATGAAAATAATCATGAAAATTTTGTAACTATTAAATTACACTTAAAATAAAGCACTACATATTAATCAAGATAATCTAAAAATCATAAATTTTTCATAATCATTTTCATAAAAAAAATTTCCTAATCCTTAACTTTTCCCAATTCCTTATCCAATCTGAGTTGTCGTATGTAAACAATTATGTAAATGATTAGTCAAACCCACGCACCATAGAAAAATAAAAGGGCAAATTACATATACCCCTCGAGATTTAACAAAATTACAGATACCTCTGAGGTTTGAGAAATTACAGATACCCCCCTGAAGGTACTATTTACATAACAAATTAGGGGGCAAATTGTTATGAAAATATAAACCTTAGGGGTCAATTTGTTATGAAAATATAAACCTCAGGAGGGTATCTGTAATTTCCGAAACTTCAGGAAGGTATTTGTAATTTAGTTAAACCTCAAGGGAGGTATATGTAATTTGCCCATAAAAAAATTTATATTTAAAAAGGTAGTTGAATTTTTTTTATAATTAAATATAATGTTTATAAGAGAAAAAATATAACGATTATAAATTTGATATAATATTTTATTTTATTAATTATTTTTAATCTATTTTATTTTTTTATAAATTTAAAAAAAATAAAAATAAAAAATCCAGTTACCAAAACGAAGCCTATAATTGTAAAGACACTCCCTTGTTCACCCTCATTCCTAATATCCTATGTAGTTTTCCATGACCTCTTCCTCCAAATTCACCTCTTTCCAATCCCACCAACACCACCATCACCATCACCACCATGGCTAGCAATGACAACAACAACTCCTTCACCCACCACTTAACCATCCTCCTAATCGCCGCCTCAACGGTCGCTATCGTCATCATCCTCTACCACTGCATCAACGCTTGTTGCTACAACCGGAGAAACCCCCAACGCCACCACCGAACACCGGTTCTCCGACAAGGAGAGATACCGGGCTGCATCAATACGTCGGTGACGGGATTCATACCGGTCTACAAGTATGAAAAGGGAACGAAATTGGTCGGAGAAGATGGGACTTGTACGATTTGTTTGAACGAGTACGAGGAGGGTGAAGAGCTACGTACGTTGCCTGAGTGCATGCACTGTTTCCACGTAGCTTGTATTGATATGTGGCTCTATTCCTGTTCCACTTGTCCGGTTTGCCGCACTGATACAACGCCGTCTCCGTTTGAGTTAAGGGTTTGTTTGGAGCCTCGTTTGGATGGATCGACCTCTCAACAAGAACTTGGTTTGGCACCGAGTTTTGGGATGCATTCAGGGGTGTTATGATGGTGAAAAAGGTTTAACCATTTGTATAGGCTCTATTCGCTTTTAGTTTGATGTGTAAATATCTTTTAGGGATATATTTCTATTTTTTTTTTATTTCATTTATATATATATATATATGTATATATTATAATGGAGGTGTTAGTAGGAGTTTGTTGTCCTAAATAAGTATACTTTTTGACTTTTTAAACTAAAAAGTAAAAGAAAAAAAAATGGTAGTTTGGGATAATTTTTTAACTTTTTACGAAAAAATATGTATTAAAATTGTAAAATTACGAAATTACCCTCACTGACACAAACAGTAATACTGCGTTGAACAATTTCTGTCTCTTTTCAAAAAAAAAATTAGGGAAATATGTGGCTACAAGTGTGCCACGTTTTCAATTGACTTGGGATGTATGGCTGCACAGTTTTGTGCAGCACTGTTTTGTTTCTTTTTTTTTTTTTTTTTTTTTTCAATTGACAGATTTTTCGCCAAAAAAAGAAGCAAATAGTATGAATTTTTTTTACTTTTTTAGTAATTTTTTAACTTTTTGAATTTTTTTAGTGACACCAAATCAGCCCTAAGGTCTTGTGAGACTCTAAGATAATAATTTAGAACAATTGCTGGTAGATTGTTCATTAAAAAAAATCAGATTGGTTTGGTAATCATAATCATATACTTTGTTGATGTATATATATATATATATTGTTTTTGGGTATAAAAAATGGACATAAAAGATAATTTTAAAAATAGACATCATTTTTTTAACCAAAAAATCTAATAAAATCATGAAGTGATTATCAAAATAATCAAACTTTTTTCATAAATAATTTATATTCTTAGTCGAATAAAATGAATAGTTCAAATTATTAAAATAAGATTCATGGCAAAACATACAAGGTCCAACATCTCAAAAAACAAAAACCTACCCCACTATAAAAAAATTAAGGTTTTAGTGATTAAAATTTAGGGACAAAATTATTTTTAAAGACCAAATATTTTTGTTGCGAAGAGTATTGTTATTATATTTTTAACAATAAAAATTAAATATTAATGTTGAATTATTATTCTTTTAGGACTGAACTTTTTATCTCAAAAATAAACTATTTTGAGACCATTTTGTCCTTAAAAGTCTATTTAGTAGTGACATTTTCAAAATTTTGTCGCTAAAAATTTTATTTTTGACTTTTCGGATTAATCTTTTAGCGACTATTCTCACGACAATAGAAATTGATCTCTAAATATTTTTTATAATAAATTTTTTACTTTTAAAGATTAAAAAAATTAATCCCTAAAATTTTTATTCAAAAAAAAATTTATTTGGTTGTGACTTCAGGACTAATATGCTAATAGTTGTATATTAGTGAAGGTGGAGCGGGGCTTTTGAGGGAAGGGGCAAATCTAGTGTGGTGAAGATGGGAGGTGAGGTTTAAAACTTCAGTTAAAAAAATATTTTTTACTAAAATATATATATTTTGATTATAAAAAGTATTTTTTATTATACAAAAAATAAAAATATTTACTGCTTAAGCAAGTGGAGCGTCAACCTGGACCTAGCATCATTGCTATGATGACGTGAGTGCAATTATTGTTATAAACGATGACGATTCAACCATTGCTCTCGTTCAGGTATAGGGCGTATAATGCAAACAAATGTCAACAAGGTAGACTCCTGCACAGTAATGCCACATGCCTCGAGCAAATGACCCAATGAATAAGCAATGACAAACCCCTCGACCCTCCGTTTGGGTAGTAGGTTGGTTTTTTAGTTTTTTAGTTTTTTGACTTTTTTAGTTATTTTAGTCTGAGTTAAAAAATTTGGTTTGGAAAGGACTTTTTGACTTTTTGACTTTTTTTATAAGAGAAGAGTGTAATGATTATGGGTTGGATGTGATGTTTTATTTTTTGTGGCTAAAATAGCTTATTTTGTCTTTTGTGGCTAAAATAACCAAAAAAAACCTAAGAAAGCCCTTCCCAAACGGACCCCGACTCATTTTAGTCCATTAAAAGTGGAATAATCATTACCCAAGAAAAGAAAAAATCATTGCCAAAAAGAAATAGCAGTCGGCGGCGTCAAAGATGGGATTGATCAAATAAATTTTTAATTTGTGAGATCTACTCTTTGTATAATTTAATTTGTTAAAATTATAAATTTTAATTTATTTTTATTTGTTTGGAAAATTTATTTTTTTCTTTCTAATTTTTGCAAGGAATTATATATTTTTAAGTTTTGATAATGCAGTTCAATCAGCAAAGGATGGGTCGGACTGGTCCAAGCGCTTCACAGATCGGTTGACCTTTATCCTTCAAGATGAACCTTCAACAAATCCACTGGGAAGGTTCCGAAATGGGTGGTTTCTTTCTCATAGACTCTTCAATGATCAAGTTAGATGGGAACGTAGTCTGAATAGTAACATAGAGAGGAAAAGAGAGAGAATTAGAGAATTAGTTGTTACCAAATGTACTTCAGAAGCTTACTTATATCCCTCACTCATCATTTCTTAATCTATTCGAGCTGTCTCATTAGCCGAAAGCCTATAGTCTAGTTGTCATCGATCATGGTGGTTTTGTATACTCAGGCGTGAGAAATCTTGTTGCATTTAATGTCATGACAGTCTCATTTAATGCCTGACGTGTGGGTTCAATAACTTTGTAAGATCTTTTTTTTGCTACATGGCTGACTGCCTATCTGATAGATGTCTCATGCTACTGGAACTAGACCAACACCAGTTTCTCATTACTGTTGGGCTTTAACCATGCGACTGTCTGGGGAGTTGGACAAACTCTAAGCATTTACTTTATGTCAGTTTCATTGATTTTAAGCCAATTTTGTTAGCCTTTGACATTCTTTAATCAATTTTTCCAAAGTCATGTTGAAGTCCACTAAATGAGAAGAGATATCAAACGAGAAGTGATTCATAGCATAAAAGGGAGACTTTGCCTTGACGATGAACCTCTGTAGAAATTAAGCCATTGAACATAGGTCTTCTTTTCATACCTTGAACAACAATCAATCAGTTGAAACGACTCTCAAACAAAAGAGAAAAAGAAAATAGTGAGGTTGTAAAAATGATTATGCGAGGCTGGTTATTAAAATGGGACTCTTGAGATAGAGATTAAGTAAAAAAAAGCTGTCAACTCAAACAACTCGGTGTCTAAGGCCTAAACAACCAAAATCATGAGGACTTACAACACAACAAGCAAAGCAATCAAAGCATAAACTAATTAAATGAATTAAACAGATAAATCAAAAACACTTTTCATTTTCATATGATTTTACCATTTTTGAGGGAGAATACATTTTTAGTATTTATTTTTGGCCTTAAAAAAAAAAAAAAAAAAAAAAAAAGAGCTAGAACAAGTAAGCAAAGATTGAAGAGAACAAAGCTAGTAAGCAAGTCTAAGGAAGGGTGGCTAATCCCTCCACTTTCACATATTTTAGCCTTTGAAAATTGTCCAAAAACAGCCTAAAAACAATAGCTAAAATCATGTTAAAAGAACACAAAAAATGAGAAAAAATAAAGAGATACAAAACTAGTAAGTAAGACTAAGGAGGGGTGGCTAACCCCTCCACTTTTAGAACTTTTAAATCACATTTTTTAGCCTTTTCAAGCTCTAAAAATTAGTATATAAAGACAAGAAAAATAGAGGAAAAAAGAAGACGAAGAGTAAAGAAGAAGGTGCAAAATTATACCTTTGAAAGATAGGTAAGCTCTTAGTAAATAAACTTGATTCCAACATCCTCAAGATTATGGAATATGGTTTGAAACTCTAGCAAAAAGTTTCAAGAACAAGCTCTAATGGTGTATGTATAGCTAAAAGGTGATATGAAGTCAAGGAAGCTTTTGGAAGGAAGATAGATGTTCTATCAATGTCTAAGAATCTTGGAAGGTTTTTCTAACCATAAAATCTGAAGTGGGTGGTCCTATTTATAGAATTTGAGTCAATTTGGTCGAAAATATCTTCAAACAAAGTTAGTTGTCTGTTTGGTGCTATTGAAAGCTGGCCGGCCTCCAAAACACCTTGTATAGCGACCCCGGTCTTTTCCCATTTGATTATTGTATCCGGACTTAGGTTCCGTAGATTTTGTCATTGTATAACTGTTATTGTTGTCCCTTATTTTCTCATTTGGAATTATAGGATGTGTTGGGCAGGTTTGTTTCAGGTTGGTTGGGTTTAGAAACCAAGTGTTGCTGTCCAGAATTTTGGATCTTCGCTCGAGCGAGGAGTTTGTCGCTCGAGCGAGATGTTGTTTTGGTTCTTCGCTCGAGCCGGGGTTTGGTAGCTCGAGCGAGAGTTTGCGTCTGGGTTGGACCTGTAGCTTTGCATTCTTGGCTCGAGCGAGCTTTTCTTCGCTCGAGCGAGTTAGTTTGTTCTTCGCTCGAGTAATAGTTCCTTCGCTCGAGCGTGAGTCTGGTTACAGACCTGAGGGTTTGAATTCTTCACTCGATCGAGTTTTCTTTTGCTCGAGCGAGCTTTTGGGTGGTTGGCTTCGAGCAAGGCTTCCTTGGCTCGAGCGTAGATTCTCTGTGTCTGGTCGCTCGAGCGACCAAAGTCTTCGCTCGAGCGAGCCTGTCCAGTTTATATACACAGCAGCGGGATTTGATCAGTCTTTTCATATTCTTTTGATTCCAAACCCTAGGTTCGACTTCTCTCTCTCCCTACTCACATTCTCTCTTAGGTTTGATCTGTTTAGAGTGTGTTTCAACCGCTA